TTTTTGTATAAGTAAGGGATGGTGTTAAACTATCTTGCTGAAACGGTAAAGATTTTGGATATTTGAAGAACTAACTAAATGAATAATTTTTATTAACACGGAGGAGATGGATTGTTTAAGTTTAGACTTTGGAGTTAGAGATATTAATATTTGTTTACTTGTATTTGAATATCAGCCTAGGTTGGTTTGGGAAGTCCGGAGGGTGGGGGGATGGGATATAATATTGTGAAATATTTGTGATGTATTTTTTTTTTTATGATAAAAATAAAAATTCTATATTGAAAAAAAAAAAAAAATGGAGCTGGTTAAAATGGCGAAATTGAGAGCTTTAAAGAAAAGACACTGATTAATTTTAATGTTGATTGGAAGCCCCCTATGGACTTCTTGCACTAAACAGAATAAATGAAATTATGATATATGAGTTTATGAATAAAATATCAGATAATAGAAAAATGAAAACTATGTTGTGAACTTAGAAATAGGAGCTTACAGGTAGTCCTTGATTTACAACTGGTCACTTAGCAACCGTTTCAACTTATGACAGAACCCCTAAAAGATACTTAAGATACACTCAAAGTTAAGGCTGCTGCAGCACCCCACAGTTATTCACCCTTACGACCGACTACAAGAATGCTACCCATCTGGCCCCGCTGGGTCCCTACAGTCACTCATCCACCCAAGGGAAAGATTTGGCTGGCTGTAGCACATGCAAATCAGTTGGAGCTTGCTACCCTCATTTCCTTTCCTCACAGCTAGCAAGGGAGATCAGATCGACTGCAACTTGCAAGCCTGACTATAACTTCTGGGCTCAAGGTTTCAAGCCAATCCTTTCAAGCTTGTGCAGGGGATCAAGAAGACAAGCAATAGAATGCACTGTCTACATCAGCTTCTGTATGTTCTTGGATGCCACAAACTAAAAGTAACGTAATCTAACCATTCAAAGTTATCAGTGCAAGCACCCAGACTGGCCTAAATGTGAGATATTTTATTTGCAAAAATTATTAAAGGCAGACAAAATCATCAAACTTTGTGTGATAATCTCCAGAGACAGCAGCAGGGGTCTGAATATGCTCCCTCACAACCTAACTCAGCAGAGCAAGCCATAAGCTTTGCAAATACCCTCGGTGAAAAAACAGCAACTTTGCTGTACATATTAACAGAGCAAAAGTGAGCATCAAACAATGCTTTTTCTCATTTTTCACATATTCTGACCTGTGTTCAAGTATTTTATTGTATAAAATTAACATATAAACCCACTTACAAGTAAAACAAAAACAAATGTAAGATTTTTTTTCCTTTAATACATCTCAGGCTTGAAGGATATGCATGATCTATAAAGTGTTTCAATCAATATATCCTCAAGAAATATATATTTGAAACTCATATAGCATATTCTGTTGCAGTAACAATGTAGGGATGTAGCATTGTCTGTATTGTAGTTGTCTTCTTGACCACTTACTGGCAATAAGATGCTACTGATAACAAAATTTTCAGGTTAAACATGGACTTCTATGGAAAAAATATGCACATTTCATGGATATTAGATTTTAACTAAAGAAAAAGAAAAAAAACTGACATTAAAAGTTTAATAACATCTGTTAAAACTTTGTAGTAAAACCTTTCCTCAAAACTGAAAAATGTAGATCTAATTAAAACGGAATCAATGAATATTAATTCATTTATGTCACTGTATAACATAAAACTATTCTCCACTGTGACTCATACCACTTTTATCAATGCTTCATATGAAGAATATAATGTGGCTTCAGAGTCAAATTGTTCCTCCAAAGTATATACTATAGACAGATGAACTTCAGATTGCAGAATAGCGTTAACAAAGTCAGTATGTACATGTACTACTCGCTCCTAGAACATCAGAGCTGTAATAGAAGAAAATATGCTACTGTAGGCATATTAGTAGACTTTTGATAAAATATGGAGCAAAGGAAATTGGATAGCAATAAAAAATAGTATATATACATGTGTGTGTGTGTGCGCGCACACACACATACACACACACACCACTCTAGGATATAAAATCAAAATTTTGTTACTGATAAAATCATTCTGGAAATAGAGAGAACATGGGATGATAAACATTTTCTTACTGCAATTTGAGTAAAATAAATGACAAATTTTCCACAAGAACCTTTGTCTGTGTACTGGTTTTTATGGCTTTTGCACTGTTCTTTCTTTTTAAACGTTTTAACAGTGCCCGGAGCCACTGGCAGTTGGGCAGTATATAAATTTAATAAATTATAATTGCACAGTCAATCAGATGTTTACACTGGATTTGGCATTTCTTTCCTCCTATCAAGTCCTTCCCAAGGACCTGGGATAGGCAGATATTGATGTTTGATGATGTTAAAGGTACCATTACTTTCTCTATCCCATCAGTTCTTGCTTACAGGGAAAGGGTATTTCTTGCAGATCTTCCAATGTACCATCATGTGACCATAGAGAGGCTGCAAGAGCCACAATTTCAAGGACTGATTGTAATGTAAGTGTTATTATTCAGAGACATAATAACTCAATGGTTGTTGAATGAGTGATTGGTAAGCAAGGACAACCTGTATGGTATTGCTCCTTTCTCTAAAATGATGCCATTTGTTAAAACAATAATTAGGCAAATTATATAAACTGGCACAAGTAAGTTATATGAATGCTACAATTTATGTATCATTATTTAGCAGACCATATCATAGGATAAAATACTGAACTGTATCTGATGAATATTTTAAAAGTTTCATTTACAATTTTAAAACTGAAGTAATATATTTACTTTTTTTCATATGAATGTGAACGAAACTGGAGATCTCGAGACCGTGATCTTGATTTTCTTCCCGATTTTTTATGGCTATAACTTCTACTATCTGAGGAACTGCTTGAAGATGACCTTCTACGATGTTTCTTTTTTCTTCTGCTTTTAGACTCTTCTTCAGTGTCTGATGAATGGCGACCCATTTTAGCAAGCTAGTTTTTACAAAAATTAGAGAACTGTAAACATTAAAAAGTATTGTATGATTAACAGAAAAGTATATCATTATTAAATTTTCACTCACTGGTCTTTAATTTAAAGCAAAATCTTACCTACTATCTTACCTACTAGAAATAAAGTAAATAATCTTAGAATGCAAACTTGCATACTTAAATCTTATTAAGCTCAACAGAACTTTATAAAATGGATAGACCAATTTATATTTCACAGAAAGCAAAATAATTGTTAATGCAATTCTAGCAAAACTTTATGAGGTACAAAAAAGAACTGAAACATTACTGGGAAAACTAAAAGAATTTGGTGCATTAATAAAAATGTGTAAATACATCTACATTTGTCTGGCAGGGGAAAAAATCCACAAGCGTGTTGTGAATGTTACAGGTACAAAGGAAAGAGGAGGGTTGGGTCTACCTGAATTGAAATTGTATTTTGCAGCTTGCTGTTTGGTTTTGTTTGGTTGGTGCTGCTCAGAAGGTTCTTTGAGTTAGAACTTGACCTGATTACGTGGCACAGATCTTTGTGATACGACAAAGCCAAAATTAATGTGGATTTTAAAAATCATTAGGGTAGACATGTCATACTGAGAATATGAAACAGGCATAAACCCAGGTTGTGCACCAAAACACCTTTGTAACTGTCAGCACAACAAACATTTTATAGACAAGAAATAATAGAGAAACCCAAATGGGTAGCTTATCCCGATATACTAGAATTTTGTTAAGAGGGATACAAAAAAAAATCAGGAAGAATTGGTGACAGAAATAGATAACTGCCAATTTTTTTTGTATCTACAGTTATTATAAAGATTTAAAGTAGACAAAAGAGTTTGTGGTTTTTGAACACTCTAGAATGAAATAGAATTATGTGCAAATGGGGTATATGTAATTGCTAAAATTTTGAAATTAGAAACAGAAGAATAAGTGAAAGTGTACAATAAAGTGGTCTAAAAAGTTTGGTTATAATGTACAGATGGAACAATGGAAAAACATGTGGTTGAAAGGATTGAAATGTACATATTATAATCCATAGCTGATGGACAAGTAAAAAAGCGAGAAAATTTTGGATTCAAACACACATTTATTTATTTATTAAATTTATATACCGCCCTATCTCCCTTGCGGGACTCAGGGCGGTGAACAGGCGATACTAAAAACCACGATAATAAATAAATAGTTTGTTTTAAAATNGTTACTTTCAATTTTTCTGCTGACAATGTGCCTGTATTTCTCAGATGAATTATTGTGTTTAAAAAGATTGCAAACAACAAAATGTTATTAAGCAAATGCCAGTAAAACAAACTAAATCTATTTTAAAATTATTAATTTAATGTAAATGTGGTTGTTCTCCTGAAAATTTGGTTTGTGATTTTACATTATTCGCACAGCCCTGTTTTATTGAAAGACAATTATAAATCTATAGTATTATAGAGAACGTCATTCTTGATTCAGATTCCATTTAAAATAGAATAAATAACTACAGTGCAAACATTCATCTTTGGATAAAAGAAAAATAGTTAAAGGACAGAAGATGATAATTAAGAGTTAACAGTCTGATAATGATTTACTGGCTTAACAGACTAGTTTGTCTTAATTTATAATCTTAATTTCTGTAAGAAAAATATGACAATGCAGTACATAGCTCCTTAAAAACATACCAAATGAAAAATCTTGTGATTTTTAATCTGGAGTCAGTGTTCTGTATTCAAACAAATAAACCATTATCTGGACAAATCTGTTAAGACAAGGCTAACTTACTGCATTTGTAGAATCACAAATTGCCCATCTCAAACTTAGCCAATTCTGTTCAGATATGAGAAGATAGAAAGGCTATATAATTCAAAGAAATACAAAATTTCTTTCTCTCAAAAGTAAAATCCCACTTAGAAAGGTAGTCCAAGCTACTTTTAGGAGAAAAAACACATCTTATTTTAAATAATTCTTGATGGCTAAATATGAACTGGGAATATTTATTTTTTAAATTAGGCAAGTCTTAGAAATGTGATAGGCCGTAAGTAAAATAATACACTTCTCATCAGAAAAGGTTTTTCACTGAACACCCAAATTGTTCTCTCCACTATCTGAATCTCTTAAATTTACCATGACTAGAATGCAGATAAATCTGAGTGTTCAATACTACATGTTAATCAATGTACTAGCCATTTATATAGCCTGAATGTAAGAATGGGAAGACAAATTATCTAACATAAAACGGCACAAAACAAAAGTAAACCTATAAAGACCATATCATCATTTGGACAAATTTACAATTTATTTTGCTTTTATAAAGTTAGTTCTTTGTTCAAACAAGTAAGTTAAAACATATTTTTCAAAAGAAACACAATATAAAAACTGACATAGAAAATAGCAAGTGGGCAAGATAAAATATCTGCTGAAAATACACACCTATTCAATTTGTAATGACATAGACATTAATAAACAAATAACCTTGTTCAACTCCTTATAGGGCTTGTTCCACATAAGCAAAAATTTTACTGATATTTATTATGTACTTGCTGATGTTCATTTCTGAAAAATGACCGCTTATTAACTTATTCAACCAGTTTATATGCCACTATTTATAGTCCACAAATACATATACAATGTTATAGATACAATTATTTGCTATGAATAACAAAGTTTTTTTCCTGACCTCTCACCAAAATGTACTTCAGTATAATTTAAGTCTACTACTTTTTTCTTGTCTGCCTATTTAAAACAGTCCATTAGATACTTGAAGAACTATAATGTCTCTTCACAATCTTCTCTTGTCCAAGCTCTTCAACCAGCTCTTCCCTAATGGTTAGGATCATATCTAGGAAAGCCAATTCCCTTGTCTCTCCTTCAACCTTTTGGAAAATGAAACAATTAGTGAGACCATAGAGCAATTTCTAGGATCTTGCAGTCCTAGCTGACTTGGTTTTCCAAAAACCAAATAATAAAAATCTTCCATTGTTACTTGTTCTCTCCTCATTAAAAGTTATATTATCCAGTGCGTTATCCAGAGCCCCTTTATTTTTTTTGCTCTTTGGATTATTGTTTTGTTTCCAGCCTTCTAGTTGTCATTTTCTTTTCTTTTTTTATATACTGTACTTTTCTTTCAATTTTTATGTCTAAGCTGCCCAGAGTCGCTATAGAGCCAGGCAGCCTCAAAATTGCAGGCAATCCCTGGCTTATGAAAGTCCACACCAAGGACAATCCATAGATACAAACAGACTGCCTAATACTAAAAATGGCAAAAAGTGTTCTCTTAATTTGAGAAAGTGCTGAAATTGCACAGTGCTTTCAGGAACCGCTGAATCCATGTGTTTTTAATATACAGTCTGTTTTCAGGGGTTCCTGAAAGCACTGTGCAGCCTCAGCACTTTGTTGACTCAAGGAAGGACAGTGCTGCCCGCCATTTTTAGTAATAGGCAATCCAAGCTCTGACTTCAATATAAATTCAAGTTAAAAACAGAGTTAGGGAATGAAAGTTGTACTTAACTTGGGGACTGCCTGTATCTCCTTCCATTTTGACTGGCCAGTTTATTTTGATTAAGTTGTATCCCTTCATCAGTTTTGTCCCATCAATAATACATGCTAAGTTGCATTTGCCTTCCTGCATTAAGACTTGTTCTTTCTATCTTCCCTGCATGCTTTACATACAAAGAAAAATTCTTGAGTTATGTTTTTACTCCCAGTCTTATTCTCAGTACTTCAATTTGTATTATTTTCCAAGCTCTTGTTTTCCTTTTTCCAATATTCAATTTAAGGCCCTCTAGATCAGACTTACAAAGCACTTCTTAAACATTCTTCCCAGTTCTCATGAGTGCCTCTCTTACCAGGAGTTACTTATCTCAGAAATAAGATCCATTATCAGAGATGCACCTTTAAAGAAGCTGCTTCAGGACATGCTGGAGGATATACAAAGTACACTTTTGAATAATTTGCAAATGTCTAATAATAGATACACAGGTATGAGAACATTGCTTTTCTTTAATGCTCTTGTGGTATTATGGTAAATGTGTTAACACCGCAAACATATGCTGGGCCAATCTTGCACCCTTCAGAAAAGCATTTGATGAAAACTGATGTTTTGCTACCTTCAAATGGAGATGCATCAAGGTTTCATTTGCTAAGTTCTTGATTTGTTATAATTTTTATGTTGTCTTTTGTGTTATTTAAAAGCTGATCCAAATCTTTGGAAACTGAGTAGCATATAAGCAAAAAAAAAAGCATACTGCAATTTTTTCCTGCCCAATTCACGCCATCTACACGTCAATACCTCAAGAGAGAACACACCCTAATAAAAATAGCTACCATGTATGAATGAAGAGGTTTGTAACAGTTACAATAATTGGAATTCCAAACTAGCCCATAAGATTATATTTTCATCCAATTTATACTTCTAAAAGCATTCACAAGATCTGAATGCACTCTATCTTGATTTTTCTTCTCCATGAAATTGTACATAAGTTTTTAGTAAGCAGTCTATCGAAGTCCTGAATAGAAAAGCTGGATCTCACCAATCCTATGATACAAAATAACTTCAAGTATTTTGTAGTATTCATTATCACTGTACTCTTGCAACAAATGGTTCCTCATGCAATCATAATGCTTAATATTAAAAATAATTTCTATTTTATTTAATATGTACTTAATAACTTTGTATTGCCACAAAATAAAACATTAGATCTGTATAAAATGCATATTTTCAAATAGTTTTCTATTTTTATATATTATTAACTATTATTCTGAAATAATTATAATATAAATACCATGATTCTGCAGAAGATCAATATTTAATATGAGTATTACATAATTTCAGCTTTCATACAAATTACTTGGTATCATTATTTTGATATATTTATTTTGAATTTCAGGTTCACAAAATATTTGCAGTTTCATAACTGCATTGATAACACATAAAACGCCAAGTATTTTTTTTAATGAAAATTACTTATGAGCATTAGTTAAGTACTTTTTACATTATTTTAAGCAAAATATTCAAATGAATAATTTTT